TGTATATGAGTGGCAAACGGTTAACAATTAGACTCAGTATGCATTAAGAAGTTTCATTTCACTTATAATATTGGGCGGGGCAGTATTCTTCTGTGACCATTTCTAATGCGTGTCCACATTATGCTTCAAATTCATGGGAGTGACATAGCATGCATAGATTTTGAATTTTTGAGTCATGAAATATGTTGGCGAGTATAAAGACCACATCCAGGCAATCCAGTTTTGTTCTTCATGGCCTCTGCTCTGGAGATTTTAGGGACTTAGCGATGCTGTATGGCAAACCCAAGTCAATAGTGACAATAATTTGCGCTCTCGAGAAGCTCTACATACAATTAGCCGGCTTGGTAATAGGTAAATAATACTTTTTGCTCCAACTATATAAATTGCTCATTAATTTTCGTTTCTTGTAGGTTTCATTTGGTATTGCATAATTGGAATTCGTCAAATGCGCAAAATTAGAAGGCAGAAAGAAGGATTGGCGGCACACAGACAAACAGCCATCGAACAAGAACCAGGAACGACAGATGATGAAAAGCACGACATCGACAATGCGGTCCTGAACAATGCTAATTACTCATTATATATATGTATAAATAAACAAATGAGATTATTATATGTGACTCAAATAGAGGTTACATTGATTAAATTTAATTTGGTAATGTCGTGATATTTGAGAAATTCCAAAAAAAAAGCTCAAGTCCAGTAAACAGCTATATAAAGTTAAAGTAATGTAACTATCTTGTTTGCGCATTTTTGGTCTTAAAAGGTTTTGATTTTTGGACATTGCAGAGGCGGATGCAGGCCTTTTGAAAGGGGACAGTTTAAGTTAAAGTAAGCCAGATTGGTTTAGTTTGGGTTAGTTTTGGCAGCGCATTGTGCAAGATACGGTTTTTCGAAGGAATGGCCCATAAAAATATGGGAATGGGGCAACTATTTAGGAGAATAAGGTGGTTTTTAATAAGTAGGTACAAGGTGTTTTTTTATATATTGACACCTCACCTACAGCCTTCACCTTTACAGGTAAAAGAAAGGTGTAAATACAAAAGTTGTTGCCTGTCAGCCTGGCTAAATTTTTAGAAACCATGGTCAGAAACAAAATTTGAATGTCATAAATGTGAAATTTTGCATGCTTCCAGCTTTTTTCAAATGGGATGCCCTATATTTCATTCTACCGGGTGGGGCACGAAAAACTTTCTACCCAGGTTTTCTCAGGTGTTAAGTGTTTAATCAAAAATCGCTCAGACACGTCAATTTTTGTTTTTTGGGGGACACATTTTATTGGTATTTTTACCCCCTACCCCTAAGTGGGGGTGACAGGTACCCACAAAATTTTAAAGGAAAACCTGGGTGGAAAATTTTTCGTGCCCCACGCGGTATATTCTTGAAGAGCACAATGCTCCGATTCCAAAAATATAAAATTTGTCTATATTTGATTCAACAGTCTCTCATATATTCGGCTCCAAAAATTTTAAAAATACTATCCTATTATCCGTTCACAATCCGATGTCCACAGGTAGGTACAGGTAAAATCACCTTTCAATGCTATATGATAGGGAAAGGTGATAATTTTACCTGCACCTGTGGACATCAGATTGTGAACAGGATATACTACTGATTTTGTGAACCATTCTACCTATACAGGTGCAAGCTGCAGGTAAAATTTAAGGTATGTACTTGGTTTCTCTGCTAGTATTTTTAGAACCAAATATGTTTAAGACGGCTCAACCAAATATAGACAAACTATATAGTTTTGGAATCGGGAAATTGTGCTCTTCAAGAATATAGAACCAAATATAGGGCATCCCATTTGAAAAAAGCTGGAAGCGTGGAACATTTTACATTTCTGACATTCAATTTTTGTTTCTGATCATGGATTCTAACAATTTAGCCAATACTGTACAACTTTTGTATTTGCACCTTTCATCTACTTGTAAAGGTGAAGGCTGTAGGTGAGGTCTCAATACATAAAAAAACACCCTGTACTTGAACAATAACTTATTATATAAAGTCAGAATTTGTGAGATTATCGACTTTTTGTCAATTTGCCTTTCCACAGGAATTAGTAATGTTACTTTACCAAACTAGTAACATAATGTGACAAAGTTATTCAAGTACAAACGTGTGGATTGTTGCGGAAGTTATGGGTGGACCTCTGCGGGACGAGCGCAGCGAGTTCCGCAGCCATCTATTCATCAATATGTTGTTTAATTACGATACTAACTCACTCAAATATGCGATATTCTCATTAGTTTGAAAATTACACATTTCAGGTGAATGTCTTACTTGAACAGTTCAATAGTATATTTGGTGATTAGATGGCTGCGGAACTCGCTGCGCTTGTCCCGCAAAGGTCAACCCATAAGTTCCGCAACAATCCATTTATTTGTACTTGAACAATAACTTATTATATAAAGTCAGAATTTGTAAGATTATCCACTTTTTATCAAGTTGCCTTTCATCAGGAATTAGTAATGTTACTTTACCAAACTAGTAATATATTGTGATAAGTTATTCAAGTACAAACGAGTGGATTGTTGCGGAACTTATGGGTAGACCCAGCCATCTATTCACCAATATGTTGTTCAAGTAGAATACGAACCTGATTCACTCAGTTGAGAATTTTTCTTATTTTTTCAAAAACTACACATTTCAAGTGAGTGTCTTATTTGAACAGTTCAACAGTATAATGGTGAGTAGGTGGCTGCGGAACTCGCTGCGCTCGTCCCGCAGAGGTCTACCCATAAGTTCCGCAATAATCCACTTATTTGTATAGGGTGTTTTTTTATATATTGACACCCCACCTACAGCCTTTACCTTCACAGGTAGAAGAAAGGTTAAAAGTTTTGGCTAAATTTTTAGAAACCATGGTCAGAAACAAAATTTGAATGTCAGAAATGTGAAATTTTGCATGCTTCTGGCTTTTTTTCAAATAGAATGCCCTATATTCTTGAAGAGTACAATACCCCGATCTATATTTGATTATTTTTAAAAGGTTGCCCCCCCACTGTATCCGCCACTGGGACATTGCCTCACAAAATCCCCTATAACTTTGAATATTTCACAAATTCTAATAAAAAATTACATTTTTATAATCAGAAATACATGCTTTTTGAGATGAGACAAGATTTAAATTTAAAACTCAATTAGTTTTTGAAATAGGTATGGCTCAAAGTTGAAACTTTGTGTTTTTCTGATTTCCAAAAATAATATTTCATTGCATACGCCTTTAGAGAGAGAACAGGCTACAAAATTTCAAATTTTATTATAAAATGTACTATTTATATGATTCATTTATTATTTTGGCCTTTTTCTTTATTTTTGTAATGTCTTTCATATATGCCAGACGTGGCCCCTCACGATAATTTTCAGATTTTTTTACCGTAGAAAGCCACGTATGGCACATGACAGACGCTATTTATTTATTAAGGTGGAAAAGTTGCTAAAAATCAATCAAAGATGGTCTATACCTATGGTGACAAGTGCCCAGATAAACCACAAATATGTTTAGCTTGTTTCAATACAAATCATAATTAGTTATACCTACTGTATAAATTTTCTAGAAATTCGCTTTTTATTTGTATTTTTAGAAGCTAGAACATAATTTCAATTCCTCAAATAACGTTTATTTTTTGTTTTGTGTGATTGAAATAAATATTTTTGAATAATAAACCTAAAATTATGATGTTTCATTTACATTTTCGAAAAAAAATAGTAGTTATTCGAATTTGCTTAAACCAAATATACCAAAATGTTCGTGGCAGGCCACAGATTAATAACCCATAAGATAAAGCGCGTAGCGTCTGGCATATCTGTAAGACGCGGCCTGGTAGTGAATATTGTCTATCTTGCATATATGACAGATGTGGCCCCTCCGGAAGTAGCATTGTCTGTCACATATGCCAGACGTGGCACTCAATGTGTTAAAGATGGGCACACTATTAGTTTACATAATATATTTACACAAACTTAACATGAAACTAATGCTGTTATATTTACAGATCTATTTAACAAATCCCCAAAGTCTCACATTTCTACCTAGGTAGGTATAATCTTTTTAAAGTCAGTTGAAACAAGGTAAAGGTAAATCACAACGTGATGAATTATTTTCATAAGAAATGCACTGCCACTAGTCAGCCACCAGTTGCAATTTATTTTTACCTTGTTTCAATTGACTTTACAAAGACTATACCTATTATTGAAACCAAAGACCAGATTCTCGAGAGAACAATAATTAAGTACTCTGTCTTTCTCAATGATATTTAAATGAAAATATGAGTACCAAAGAACTCTCATGGAAACGCTGCTCTCTGTTTCAAAAATATGGTCCCTGAAGTAGGTCAGGGTTATTGGTTATAAATGTCACCCCCCTCTATCTTTTTTATTTGACATTTTAGAAAAAAGTGTTCCAAGGGTATATCACATGAAATCTTCATAGAATTTTACGTAGAATTCGAATATTCAATAATATACAGGGTGTTCCATTTAAAATAAGAAAGTTGGAGCACGACCAGCATTTCTGAAACACCCTGTATATGCGAATGAAGTTTTTCAAAAAATTTAATTTCAACCATAAAACTTTTATTTGGGACATTTTTTTCTAAAATGTCAAATAAAAAAGATAGATGGGGGTGACATTTATAACCAATAACCCTGTACAGGGTACAGTTGTGAGCATAAAAAGTGGGACACCCGACTGACAGGTCTTGTCATTTTACGCTATTTTGGGTGGTTCTGTGGGGTGAATCGGTCTTTTTTCTACAATGGATAGTCATTGTACAATGGATTTTTTGTCGAATGACAATCCTTTTCATTGCCGTAGGTATAACTGATAAGCTCGTTTTATAATAGGAAAAAACGGGTGTCCCACTTTTTATGCTCACGACTGTATCTATATCCTGTTTACAATCCGATGTCCACAGGTGCAGGTAAATGTATCACCTTTCCCTATCAAATAGCATTGAAAGGTGATAAATTTTACCTGTACCTGTGGACATCGGATTGTGAACGGATAATATATGTAGTTTTGAAGACACACTTCAAAGACAAGTTACTTTTTTTTTTTAAATAAAACACAAAGCAATTAATTGTTCTAATAATAATTGATCAATTTTATTTCGTTTCAAACGATACAGTGTGACAAATTAAGCTTTCCAAATTCAACAAAACACCCTGATGAGTTTGAGAAAATTCTGGCAAACTGATCAAGCAAACTTCCTGATTGTCGTCCCCCTGAACCATTTTGCTGGCAAACTTCTCCTGATTCCCAGCAAAAAACACATGAGGACACTCTTCAATGATAAAAGGGTCATTTTGGTAAAAGGGGAAACAACCCAAGGTATCAGGGGCTGTGGGTGCCAAATGGTTCCACTCCAAACAACACTGCAAAGCCTCCAGACTATCAGTCACTTCTGAGAACCTCATTATGTCTTTGATTGGTTGCCCTGAGGTGCCAGTGAAGCTCAAACCGCCAATTTGGCACTTGTATGGATTGGACACTTGATTAAACGATTTGTATTGGGCTGATTGAGGGTACATGCAAAAGTGCATTGGTTTCTGAGGCAAGATGTGATTAGAAGGATCGTATTGGCCTGGCATAACATCTACATCAACCAATTGGCATAAATGCAACAAAAACTCATCAAAAGCTTCGACAGCTTCAATTGAATCAGGGGCATCATTGACTTTTGAGACCATTGAAATTGTAGTTTTGGCTTTAGTAGGCTCAGTACTGATACTGTTACCAGCAATAATAACTCTGCACACCTGTGAAACTCTTTCTGAGTCTCCCAATAGCCCTCCAATCCAATAAGTGAGCAATTGCAAGTTTACCGAGTGTTTTTCTTGGTGTGTGAAATCAAGCCCGCTCAGAAACAGCACATAAGTTGCTCTAGTAAAAACAGGACGATCTATTTGAGTTCTGAAGCTGGCAAACACAAAATCGTTCACTTGGAACTTGCCTTTGCCCACATCAGAACCCAACAAGGCACATGTGATGCCTGTGACCAGCTTTAAGTGGTCCAAATTGAGGATTTGGTATCTCTGGACTTCGTCTTCCATGTAAAGGGCGTCCGACTCGTCGGTGAAATGAGTCAGAAGCGGTTGGGGCATCAGTTGATTGCCTTCAGCTAACCTTTTTAGCACAGAAGGCTTGAGCTTCTGGTCTTTGAACAAAGTACCAATTACGATTACTTTGTCGTAGGTTTGCTCGGTGAGTTTGTGCAGCTGGCAAATGGGATATTGGTCGCCCCATTTGCGTTGAATGCGCCCCACTAACAGAGGCTCCATATCTTTGAGCCTGCTCAGGTAAATACTGCAGTATTGTTTTTTGTAGTCGGGGCTTTGGGTGAACTTCTCCGAACAGTTTTTATACGATAGGGCTATTCTTTCAGGCATTTTAATTGGATTTAAATTATATTATAGTAATTAATTATTTTTGGTTAAAATAAACAAAGCAAATGAAGTCAATTGGAATGCGCGCGCACACATTCAAATCCAAACCATCTGTCAAAACGAAAAACTCAATATGGCGTGACGGCCAGCGAGTTTGTTTTAAATATGTGTTTTCATGCATATTTTAATTATTTTGCTTCGAGTTTTGCTTGCAACTTTGATTATTCAATAAAATATTTGTTTACTAAATACGTAAACTTTTAAGTCGGACCCGAAGGTCGGACCGAAACTAGATATTCTTTTGTGTTTTTTTGGTCCATATGTTGCCGCCACGCCATCTTGAATCCGCCACCGTCAAAAAAATGAAGCTCCGTGCACTCCGAGTGACTCCGTTCGCACTTTAGGGCCGAGTTCAGAAATAACGCTCAGAGTGCGAGTACGATTTTATGGGTGTGCCTGAATTGACAATTGGCCATTGGGCCCATAGCACAGTCTAGCATTTCTGAACAGCTAGGGCGTCGCACCGGTGTCACACTTACACTGGGTGTGTCATTCCTGAGGCGATTTTCAGCCTGGAATGATTATTATTTGGTTATAACCAACGCATTTCCGCCGTCGCGGTTTTAACCAAAGTAGGGGAAGTTGTGACGTCACATATCAGCTGATTTGCTTTTGGTATTTACCACTTTAACCCAGCTTTGGACTTGGGTTAATCTTTTGGTTATAGTTTTTTGATGTTATTGTTATTATTTTTGGAATTTGTATTGGTGTTTTGTGATTTTGCAGTTGCGTTGTAGCCTGGCACAATGAAAGAAGTATACATTCACTCACTCACTGCAATTCACCATGTTTGGATCCAGGTTTAGATCATCCCCAAAGAAAATCTGTTCGATAAACGACACTAACGAGATATTCAACTCCATTTTTTGTACCTAAACAAAAAACTATTGTTGAAACGAAAAAACAAATAAGAACAATAAACCTAATCCTACACTGCTATAACCAAATCATTTCAGCGGTCAGTTCCTTGGGTTATGATTCTTGAATGGTGGGGGGCTATGACATCACACTTGGCTGTCAAAGTTGTCAACCAAAAGAATAACCACGGTATTTACCGCTAAATAATCATTCCAGGCTGAAAATCGCCTCTGAACTCGCCCTAGCAGTTGTGATTCGTTAAAAGGCAATAGGGCAATCCGACGACCTGTCAAAATGAAATTCAAAATGGAGGCCAATGCCTTTTTATTTAAAAAAATGCCGTTTTATTGCGATTTTTGATTTGTATAAAGTCTGTAAAGTGTGGATTTTTTGGAAAATGCATAAATACGTTATGTATTGTGCTTAGTTGTGGGAGCCGGTCTAGTCGCGAGAAAGTCTAGTTTCATGCCGTTCCTGCAGAGACAAAACACAGGTTTTTAACGGAGAAAAATGATTTGTCTGTACCTACTTTGTGAGGGCTTCATGGATTGTAGCAAAAGAGAAAAAAATCTTACGAAATCCATATTAAAAAACCAAAAAGTCTTTCTACATAAATGGTGTATGGATCCAAGCCATTTCCTATCCTCCACATCAGCTTGTGTCGATAACTTGAATAGCAGACAAATAAAATAAACATCAAGATTCAGGATTTGGTAAAGAAAAAACTAAACAGGAAACAAATCCAGGATAGTACCTACCCAATTGTTTAGTAGGTAAAGGTTTGCCACAAAAAAAATCATAACTTTTGCAAACATCCAGGTTTTCCACTAATAATTTATTAACCTACAAACTTTTCATCTTAAAATACGAAAATAATTCTTCCAAACACTGGAAAATCATCTAAAAACCTCACAAAATACCTACACAAAAAACAGTTTTTTGATGAAAAATGTCACGGTTGTTTGAATTAAATGTATGGCGCCAATTTTTTGGCATTGACCATGCATTGACCGCCATTTTGTTTGGATTGCGTTATACGGTTATACAATGGCTGGAGTGCGAACGGAGTCACTCGGAGTGCATGGTGTTGGAGAAATAGGTCATGAACAACTCATTACTCCAAAAATAAGCAGAAATAACAAAAAGAAATCATTTAAAACACCGTTCAGGAAATATCTCATGTTGTGAAAAATTTGTCAGATTGAAGTTGTCAAAGTAAAGACAAGACTTAATGGCGTTTCCGATTGGTAGATTTATTGCGCACTGAGTGTATTCTCATTCTTTTTCATCAACCTGTAGAAGAAAAAGACAGAAATAAAGAAAACTGCACTAGATCTACTAATCGGAAACGGTACATTCAAGATGGCGTGGCGGCCACACATGAACCAAAAAACATAACAAAATTTGAAATTTCATCGTATTAGTTGAAGCAAAGAAGGTACAAGATTCGTTTCACCAAGGCAAGATTCATACTTGACCTTGAGACTTGAAAAAAAGGGGTTGTCGTAGATTAATTCATATGACACATTCAATTTTTTTGACAAATTGAAATGAATGACTTCTGGTTTAAGAAGCGACGAACGTTTTTGACGTCATTCATTTGTTTCAGTCAATTACAAAGCTCTCTCGAACCTATAATATAGATAGGCAACTCAATACAAAAATTTTGTTCCTGATTACAGCGCCCTCTCGCGTTTCGTTTATGATTTTTTATCGCCACTAGCACTAAACAATTTAATATGTTTCTAGTGGAAATAAAATTATGATAAACAGTTTCTTGATCGCATACCAAAGAGATACATACTGATTAATCTATGCATTAAATACAAAAATAACAATTTTGAATTACTTTATTGACTACAGTATGATATCAATCCAATAATAGGTACAATGAATAAGATTTTTTGATTGTAAACATTTTGCAGGCATAAAATGAACACCTAAAAAAAAAGAAAGTTAGAAGTTGCACAACGAGTGCGTAGCACGAGCTGTGTAACCACACAAGTTGCAGTTAACTCACTTGTATCGTAAAATCTATTTACATATTTTTCTGCATCAATTACCACACAAATTCAAAAAAGATACTCAAAGGAATCTCTAACTGAAGTTATATCTTAGGCGTAGACAAAAAACTCGTTGCATAGGTACCTACAGTTCAGATAAAATAAATTGTTTCTCATAATTTTGGATTTTGTAAGTATTTCTAATTAGCGATAAGCAGAAGCATTCTTTTTGTGTTATAGCATACCTACCTAGATTGTATTTAGAGCGGGGTAGATTTAGTTGAGGGGAGCGGAAGGGCGAGATTGTTTTCAATAGGGGTAGATCTACCCCGAACGGGGTAGCTTTGGCAACACTGGTCATCACCTCTTTTATTTATTTATGAAAAAAATTTACTAAGCCCGCATACGGCGCCATCTCTTATAACCGATACCAAGTTTATTTTGTATTCATCTCTGATACCTGAAACGAAGCTCGGCATTGCAGATACAGTAGAACAATGCTGCTCAGGAACTGGAGCTATTTGGAACAGAACTATTCCACTATTCCAATCAGATAGAGTGGTGCAGAAAGAGTACGTAGATCAGATAGAGTAGTGCAGATAGAGTAGAACAGATGGGGTAGTGTAGTGCATGCAGTGCAGATATAGTGAAACAAGGCTGCGCTAGAGATTTTTTTTTGTTTTCTTTACATTCTTTGAACTTTCCTGTGCCTGAGATTATTTATTTGGTGGTACACTTTACAAGAATAATGCCCACAAGCTGCCTAAAAAAGGATGATGTAAAATTTTAATTTTAGGTGACTTCTGATCCAGAGAGTAAACATTAATTTTCTTCAACCAAAGCCAAATTCACCATCGAAAAAAACTGAATTTAATTCAGCTAATAGATAGGTACGTTAACACAACATTTAATAGGTATATTCAATAATAGGGTAGTGGACAAGGTATAATTTTGATGAAATCGATGGCTCATTCTTTATCTATGAAGTAAATAAAAAAATATTCGTTTCAAAAGAAATTTAAGAAAAAAATACTAACTTTGTTTAAAACGGCTGTGAAACTAGAGTTTTGGGACGCACTAGATTTAAACGAAAATATTTCGCGCCTTGATTCTACGTCATAACTGCTGTATTTGATTATGAAATAAATCAAACCTTCGTCTTATATTCGATACACACTTACTCATTAGTGCAAAAAAGAGAGATATATCAGCGTCTGTCGGGTATTACATATAGGCGCACCCTCAACATAACCCCAATTTTTGAGAGATTTTCATTTGTCAATCAGAGCGGTCTGGGTTTATCTGCATCTTTTTCTAAAAGCATGTAAAATATAAGGACGCGCAGACCGCGCTCACGCCACTCTTAATAATGTCAGAAATAACAGCTATGACGTAATTTCCGGGCGGTAAATTATAGCGTTTAAAATAAGTACAAATTTGTCAAATTTTTTTTTTTGTTTATTTTTGCTTTCTAAAATCAAAGAAT